ACATATAGTATACTTTACTTGATGCCCAAAACTTCTAAGAAAAGTGTGAACATTTTTATAGTTACTTTTGATTATATACTTTAATTAAATATTTTACTTTATATAGATTTTCATATAAATGTCAATGAATAAAAATTAAGAATATTAACAAATTTGATAATAAATTAAAATAAGGCCTTATATGGGGTTCATTCAGTTATTGTTAAAATTTATATGAAAATTTCATATTTGGTTAAATATTATATATAAATGATATAAATATTAGCTAAACAATAAAATTAAAAGGTTTAAATTAAATTTTCAATTAAAATATAAAATAAACTTTATATTTCATAATAAATAAAATTATATAATCGTTAATATTTTATATTAACTTTTATAAAAAAAAGGTGTAATTATATTATTAATTAGATATTATTAATCTAGAAAATTATTATCCACACTATTGATAACTGAATCTATAGTACATTATAGTAAATGTGATGTATTTATTTATTTAACATTAAAGCCTTAGGAATCGTATTTTTATAGATTATAAAAATTCACCACAGAATACATATAAATATTATATTTAATAAATTCAGAAAAACATTTTGTTATGTTAAATGTTTGATTATTAAATAAGTTTTTAAGCTTAGTTTTCATTACAAAATATCTCTAAATCAAATATAAAGTTAGTGGAAAAGTTGAGTAAAATTTGCACCAAATTAGCATAAAGTGTAGTATACAGTACTGTATGCATAATTTTCAAGTAACGTTCAAATTCTCTAATAGTTAACACAAGCGTTCAATTATTTTAGATTTGCATAAAATTGTGACTGATTTGTTAACAGTCAGGTTACAAAGTTATGCACTTTTCTATATTTACACAAAAATATTAAGAATGTATATGTAAATTGTTGCATACATTTGCCAAGGATCTAAAAATGTAATCTAATTCAGACTTCCATAATATTATATAAGTTTTTCAAAATTAAATAAAATGTCAAGTAACNTATAAGTTTTTCAAAATTAAATAAAATGTCATGTAACTTACGGCAATGTCAAGTTCAGTGTCTAGCCATGAATTTTGATTACATTTTTGTGGAATATGTGAATTCATAAGCATTTTCATAACATAGACCTAACAATTTGTGCAATTTCTTAATTTTGTAACAAACATGATTGAAAATTTTAACAAAAAATATTTACCATAATTATATGAAAACATAGCTTCCATGTCAACTAACTCACAATTGATCGATGATTGCCATTGAAATTTTATACCATTATATTGTACTCCCCATTAAATAACATAATTGATAGAATTTGTAATTTATTTTTAATAAAAATACTAAAATAATAAAATGACTAAAACACTGATTTTGTTTACTCTTAAGTTTCTTTGCTATGAAATAACACAAATAATGTTAAGTGTTTCAAACTAATTAAATAAAACTTTTTTATACAAAGTTTTTTCATCAAATAAAGTAAGAGTACAACTCTTTTTGCAATTTCAGCACAAATAATATTTAATTAAAAATTTAATGTTAAATAATATATTTTTGTAAATATCCACTAAACTTGCATTTGTTTGTTTCATGATTTATTACATGTTTTGTTGTGTAAGCCTTTAATCATATTTGCAATTCTTTTTTAATTATCGTTTTGTTTTGATGTGTTTACTATTATATGTCTTCATTCATTGCTTTATGAATTATGACTTTCGATAACTTGTTTACTATATTAACGGAAGAATTGTTTATTAAAGTATCAAAGATTGTATTCAGTCTTTGTTTGGCACTTCATTATGTTTTGCGGACATATGTCTCAAATATCTTCATCGAGTAACTGAGACTCTAATCAAATATATTTGTATTCATTTGAATTGTTTGTCTGATTTGATACGATATGATCAAAGAGCTCAATTGGACAGCCAGTGGAACCGGTACTGAAAACTGATATTCCCGTATCATTTGCTCCCAATGACGACAATTTGTATGACAATTACATGCCTTTCGGACAGTCGTATCCGAGTCGTGATTATACGGTCGATATAATAGTATGTTTCGCCATCCCTTTCCTAATCGCAGCGATGATTGTCTCGTCTCTGACGTGTATTTTCTTCTATAATAATCAAGACCTGAGTAAAGGGTGTAATGAGACACCCGTCCAATTAGAGCAGTATAATAGCATAAGTCGGGCCACACTTAGACTCAGATCTTTAGCACAGAATCGTTATTATTCTGTGGCAGACGTATACAGTCTATCATCACTTCCGCCAAAACTACCCCTACATATCACAGGAACGTCTACTTTGCCTAAAGCCAAGTATGTCATTCGTCTGTTTCTCACATAAATTTATATTAAATAAATAATTATAATAAAGAAATCTATCATAACATGTCTGTTATCTTAAGAGCTAATTCGTTGCACATATCATATAATTGATGTGTTAATCAAAATAATCTTTTATTTTCCAGAACTATTAGGCCAGTGATGAGGGCTCACAGTTTCCATCAAATGTCATCCTGTATTGATACCACCTTATAATCATCAGTCATATATTCATCAATATAGTATTACTGTTATATTAACACATTTTAATTGTTTGCTTATTTTATGCAAGTACTTTTATTTTAAACAGAGACATATTTAAACTATTGTCAAAACAATTTAATAATTTAAATTATTATAATATTATTGTGAAATATTAAAAATTATATAATCAACTGTATTAAATACAAATTTTTTAGAAGTTCTATAGTTATAAAATATTTAAAGACCTGTAAAATCTAGATTTTATTTTAAGATTTATTATAATTTGAATATATTATAAATAATATTAAATAAAATTCTTAAAATCCTTATACAGTATACCTTTAGAATTATAAGTAGGGATTTAAAAAATTAAAATTACAAAAAATTACATTACTAAATTAAATAATATTTTAATAAATATTTTAAAAATACATTATCAATGTTAAAATATAAATTACATAAATTACTGTAGTTTATTTAATTTAAATAAATTAAATCGAAAAAATATAAATTACTGTAATTTTTAATCCCTAGTTATAAGTCAAATTAATTATAAAAACGTGACAACTTTTATAAAACTTTTATATAACAGTTAATATATTTCATTAATAAAATTTATGGTTGACATTCAAGCATAGTAAAGTACAGAATATTCTACCTACAGAATAACGTATATATATAGCATCTACTGTAGAATTGTAGGTCTAATGTATTAATTGATGTCTAAACAGAAAATCTAATCATAAAGTAAAATTTTGTATGGAAATAGTATAGCTACTATGCATTCATTCTTTATATATAAATCAATGTGATCAGTGACAAATCATGTTTGTCGTGGGTGTTAGACTAATGGCAAATAATTTATATATCATTACACTGTATTCATTAGATCTGATAAATATTGAGCATATGTTTAGATATAGGCTTTTATACGAATTCACTGCAAATAATCATTTGTTTTACAAATAAAATAGCATTTATTTACTTATAAAATTGTTTGTACAAAATAATCATACATTTAATTATAAAGTACAGTATGTAAGAGTTATATATTTCATAAATATTATTAAAAGCATGAAAGTAAATTATTAATTAATTTTACTAAAATTTGTATACGGCATAGATCATAAACATACAAGTAATATTAAAACAAGTAAGTTATCATGTTGTTCATATTGTATTTGAACTTTTGTTTGAATTAATTTAAGTTGTTATACATTAAACATATTTATTGAGACAAAAAAGAGGAAATAAGTTGCAGAATATTTATCTTTAAAGTAAGCTTTAATATTTTTCAGAAAGTTTATAATGTTTATAAAAGTATTATACTTTTACAATAATTTATTTAGACTATACTGTACTATTAGTTTAAATACAGAAAATCATTTACAAGTTGTATTCATTTAAATTAGTTTTTGTTTTGTTTGACTTTAATAATCTTTGATAAAATATGTTTTTACTTATAATAAATGCAGAAATGTGAAGCCTCTAGTTTCTAAAGTAATAAAAATATAAATAAAGTGATATATTACATAACATATGCATTGTCTAAAGGTGTTATTTGTGTCTGATACTGTATTCATGATGAACATAATTTATAATCAAGTCTGTGTTTACTCTACTGCATGTCCTAATCATTTGCCTACAAATGCCTCAAAGGAATCACTTCAATGGGGTTCCGAATAAGGTGATGTTGTCCATGCTATTTTTGTAACAAACTAACTTATATTTAATTAAATTCCACGTATTATGTAATTAATTATTACAGATTTTTTTTGTATGAAAGTTAATTATAAATTTTGTTACTGTTTAACCAAAAAATAATATACTAATATATTTTATTTTTAATGGGTTTTGAACTATTGTTATACAATAAAATGGCATATCTTAAATACATTGTACTTTGTACTGTACAATAAAACTTCTATTCAGTCACAAAAATGTGGTCTGGCTACATTGTATTACAGGGAAGTGGGTTATAGGGAGCAGTTCATTAAAAAAGTTAATGTTATTGCTGTTAACTGGTGTTAAATTGAATTTATATATTTTTTAATTTGACGAATGAATTTTTAATTAACAAAACTAATTTTTACAAATTATAAATTACTATTTGTAAAACACATTATAACAGAGTATAAAACATATAAAATTTTAATGCTTTATAAATAATTAATGTTTACTTTATTTAAATATATTAAAACAATCTTTTTAATTAGCTATTTGAATGTTTATAATTTTAAAACAAATTTTCTAGCATTTATAAAAATTATAATATTATATCTGACTAGAACTTTAATGATTAATTTTAATATTAAAAATACTTGCTTCATATTAAATGCATTGTAAATTTAACAGTTATATTAAATGAAAGTTGAATTTTGGTGTAATATCAATGTACCAGATATAAAATAATATTTTCATATTCTATATAAAAATGCAAAAATTTGAATAATATTTGAGAATTATAAAATTGTTATTAAAATGTTATAAAATTATTTGCAATATTTGATAACTTTATGAAAAGGGCTGTCATCTGAGTCTAATTATGAGGATCTCAGTATCAATCTAAAATTCATTCAATAAATATTTATATACAGTAGATAGGATAAAGATATTTAAAAATAAAATATTTTAAATTAATGAACAATAATAAAAAATAATAAAAACCAAAACACCAATTGCACAGTCTATATAGGGTTATTAAGTATTTTCTAATACAGTATCAATATAAATAAATGAAATCAATTTCTAAGTCTCGACAATAACAAAAGATAAAAAACTAAAATAGATTTAAAATTTGTTTTTGAAAATAAAAAATGTTTAGATTTTTACTTTAGAGTCTTATTTTGTTTTACAAATAGGAGTTTGCTTTGAAGTGAACGAAACAAAAATTTGATTTAAATCTAAAACTGATAAACAGACTCGTTTTGGCCATTAGTAGAGTGTTTATACATTTATATGACATTTGAATGTAAACACGATCTGAATCTTAAAGAATATTTTCTCTAAATCTTAAGTATAAGACGTTTCCTATCGATTGATGAATATTTGTTTCCTATTTGATAACGAATTGATTAAAATAAAAGCCAATTATTGTATTTAATTAGCATTTGTCTACAATATATGAATAATGAAGACGTAATGCAAGGGTTGTCTCAAACCACTGATGGATGGGTTGATGTATAGAGTAGTTGTGATGCGATGCTATTATTTCGACTAATTATCGATGACTTACATTGAAATGCGGCCACAATTACACTTACAATGAAAATGTGGAGCAAATGGTAATTGATTTTACAAGACATTCAAGAAATAAAAATAAAAATCCACAGAAAGGCTCAATTCAATGAAATATTATCTCAAACAGAGGCTTATAAATAATTATCTTATAATTTTGTCATTTCTTGTAAACTCAAAGTTTTTTAGATTCTTTAGATTCAAGTCATATCTCTTGGGATTTAATTTTACAAACAGAAAGTAATACTGATTTCATTGATCTTAAATAATAAACAATAATCTATAAATAAAATTAATTAATTTTTAATTGTTTAAAAAGAGAAACAAAATTGAAAAATAAATCCTTTTGAAATTTAAATCTTTGCACAAAATTTATAATAAATAAACAAATTTCAGCAAATCTTATATAATAATACATAACTATTTCCTTATGATATTTTCCATAAATAAATCATTGTAAATGAATAATCAAAATAAATATTATATAAGAAATTGTAAGTGATTGCATTGACAGCACTTCCCGACATCTCATAAATTAATAAGCCTTTTGCCAAAACCTATTGTTTGTCTCATATGTTTGTTTGCAAATAAATTATGAAATAACTGAATGTTTGATGTCTGCAAATATGAATTGCTTTTTGAGATACATTTTACTTTTTGCACTTAATATCGACTACACTTAATAGCTTATATACGTATATTATACTTTACTAGGTGTCCCTAACTTCTAAGAAAATTGTGGACATTTTAATAAGTTACTTTTGATTATAGACTTTAATTAAATATTTTACTTTATAAAGATTTTTATATGGAGTTCATTCAGTTATTGTTAAAATTTATATGAAAATTTCATATTTGGTTAACACAGTCCAAACGATATAAATATTAGCTAAACAAAAAAATTAAAAGTTTTAAATTAAATTTTCAATTAAAATATAAAATAAACTTTATATTTAATAATAAACAAAATTATATAATCGTTAATATTTTATATTAACTCCTATAAAAAAAAGTGGAATAATATTTTAATTAATAAAGTAGTTTAATTAAAAAGTAAAACACATAATTTAAATAAATGGACATTTAGACAAATTAATTATTTAAATTATAGTTACAGTAAATTGTATTTCCAAAAAATTGAAAACATAAAATAAATCAAATAAAATCATTAATCATAATTGCAATAAGTTATTTACATAAGCCTTGAATTATTATAATTGAAGCAAAAACTTTGAAAATAAGTGACAACTGATAGCATATTGTTTTCATATCTCCACCATATTATTGATGTAATGCCGGAACAAATGAATGAATGATTGAATAAATATATTTATATTTATTAGATTTGAAATTAAATAAACAAAACCAATGCTTATATTCTTTGCATTCATTTCTTTCCGGTTAAGACACGAATCAATAGAAATTTGTCTTCTTTTTGATTTTTGTTGTTATTAACGGAAGATTAATCTAAATATAAATTAACTCATAATATATTATATTATATAAGTTAGAAATACAATTGAATGAACAAATGATAAAATAATATTTAACTTTTATTATTGATCGCGTTATAAATAGTAGCTAATTTTTACTAGAATAAAATTAAATGCAAACAATTTTTTCTAGTTTTCTGATTTAAAAATTAAGATAATATATTTTGTTGCAATTATTTTATATTATTTGTCAATAAGTTATGCGTTGGATATTTTGTTTACAAAGTAAAAAATAAGTGCATCAACTAAAATTTATGTTAATTTTAAAAAATTATTTTTAGAAAATGAAAAGTTGTTATTAAATTTATATAATAACTTATTAATATTTACATTTGATGAACCTAAAGGTAATTTATTAAAAATAAATAATTACTAAAAAT